CTCTTGTGCAACATGACACTCCAGCAATTTTGACGCCCTCTAGGAACACAGCCAAAAAGGAGCTTTGGGGAAAACGAAACTATCACTTGGGCTCTGTTATCCTGGGATCCGGACAGTTTCTGCCCTCCTTTGACACCATGAACCACAGTCCCCAGACCTTCTTCAGCGGCTCCCACACCAGAGGCCCCCCATCCTATGAGGTGCTCAAGGAGGAACATGAGGTGTCCGTCCTGGGGGGCTCCCAGAGTCCAGTGCCAGCGAGGACGACAGTGATCAACATCCAGACCGACACCGTCGTGCCCGACCACATCGTCTGGTCCCTGTTCAACACGCTCTTCCTCAACACCTGCTGCCTGGGCTTTGTGGCCTTCGCCTTCTCCGTGAAGGTGGGTGTGTGCCTGGGGGCTTCTCCAGAAAGTGTGTGTGAGCCCACAGGGGTCTGCTGCCCAGATGGCCCNCTTGCCAAGGAAGCCCTTGGGATGGGGGAGCCCGTGTGTGTGTGTGTGTGTGTGTGTGTGTGCGCGCGCAGGTCACAATGGGGCTGCATGGGAGTGGCAGGGTCAGCTTATGTCTTCAGGACTCCATGAAATTCCCTACTGACCATACAAAAAATTATATCCATGTGGCTCTACCACTCTTTCAGAAAAAACAAAGGGGCTCAGAAAAACCTGCCCCCTGGTGGGGTGATCCCAGCAAAGGGGTCAGGGCAGGGGGAGAGGAGCCCTGAGACCTCTGGAGAGGCTGAGATTTGGGGGGGGGTGTCCATTTGGCCCTGTCCTGCTCAGGCTCCAGGGAACAGGGAGGAGAGTGAGGGCAGGTGGAGGCTGGTCTGGGCAGGGACCAGGCAGGGGAGGACCTGAGTCATAGCACTTGGCTCTCCCCAGGACATGCTCCAGCCCCCCTCACCATCTCTTCTCCCCCAGTCTAGGGACCGGAAGATGGTGGGAGACGTGATCGGGGCCCAGAGCTATGCGTCCACCGCCAAGTGCCTGAACATCTGGGCGGTGGTCCTGGGCATCCTTTCCATCCTTGCTGTCATCATCACGGCGGTCCTTGTGTTGGTGTTAAATCACTGAATTACAGTTACTAGGTTCCTGATAGCTGCCTAAAGCCTGAGGTGGTCACCCCGTCCCAGCTGCTTAAACGCACACGTGTTTACAATGGAATTTAATAAACCACCTTTGTGACAGTGCTGTGCTTATTTGGAGAGTCCCAGCCTGCCCCTGAGGCTGAGCAACCCCACCTGTCCCACCTGCTTGCTGCCCAGAGGTGAGCAAGGGTCGGGTGCACAGCCAGGAGCGGCCAGGCCATCCTCCCGCAGGGGGCGCGCCTGTCCCCTTCTCTGCCCTCGCGCCGCCTCGAGGCCGGGATGGGCTCTCTCAGGACTGTCCCCTCCCGTCCCCCTTCCCGTCCCCGCTCTGCCCCTTCTTCCAGGCCTCTAGCGTTCCCGGGGCGGCTGGGGAAACACCAGTTATGCGCCCACTTCTCAGTGGTGCCCGTGCCCCCCTCTGCGCCTC